CGCCCTCCGCCCCGCCCCCTCCCAACCTGGCGTCCCGCACCACCTCTTATCTCTGTCCACGCACTCCAGGGTCTCCTCTGACTTTTAACTCCTCTGTTGGCCTCCAGCCCTTTTCCCCACCCCACTCTCTCTCAAGCGGAGAAGTCCCAAGATAACTCACTTTTTGTTGGGCTAGCGACCCCCAACTCCAGCAAAACCCGACCCCTATCTGTCACTTTATGAAATCTTTCTCTTTGCCGCTTAGGACAGCCCGCCCTAGAAACCTGTCGCTGCCGAGGAACGGGCCCCTACCCCCTCCTCCTTCTTTTTTGCCTTCTCTTCCTTCTCCACCGCCAGAGCCTCAACCCCTGGTGCTGCGGCAGTTGCTGCCTCCGCCGCTGCCTGCTCGGAGCCTCCCTAGCTGCCTTGCCCAGTGCCCAGCACTCACACCATTTGTCAACTTCACTTAGGCATTGCAGCCCCCAGCCACGCGCCGGGGGCCAGACGCCCAAAGGTAACGTGCTAAGCCTCTCTTTCTGGCAGGGCCTGCTGGCTCCAGGACAGTTAGGACAGTTAGATAGCAAAGGGCCAGCGACCCGGCGCCCAGTGTCCAGGGGTGGCAGCCCCTGGGCGATTCTGGGCATTTGTCGGAACTTGGAGCAGAGGGGTTTGGATATAGAAATCTAAGCCAAGTTTTAAGGACTCTGGAAATCTGATCAAATAGGAATCAAGTTTGCATTTGCTTCCATTTTCTTTTCGTATTCCACAGGATATTTTGTTTGGGGATGGGGAGAAAGAAAGAACGGGGGAAAAAAAAAAAGGCAAAAAGAAGGCCGACTCAACAGATAAACGAGATTAACCCCCTGAAAAAACAAACTCACTGCCATCAATTCATTCGGACTCTTAGCAATCCTATAAGACAGAGTAGAACTTCCCCATACGGTTTCCAAGGCTGTAATATTTAAGTGAGCAGACTGCCACATCTTTCCACCGCGGAGCAGCTGGTGGGTTCAAACCGCCCACCTTTCAGTTAGCAGCCGAACACTTAACCCCTGCGCCATCAGAGCTCCTTTCATAAATCAGATTGCTGTACTTATATTCAACCCTGAAGGTGTGTGTAACTGTCACTAGGCTTTACATCCTCAGCCTCAAAGTTGCCTACCAAAAATATGTGCCATTTTGAAGCTCCCTTCTGCGGGAGCACACGCCAAACCAGTTGTGGCTAATTTCACTCTAAGTAAGAGTCAGGCTTGGCGGGAGGATGTGCCCTCAGGAGAAATCATTTCCAACGAGACCCGACAGTTAGTTATTGGATTACACGTGCAAGGAAATGTAGTCTGACCAGGGACAGGGGCTGGGCAGTGGGAGGAGGCGGGAGCAGGAGGCCTGAGAGCTGCTCGAGCTGGAGGCTGATGGGAGAGGCCAGGGGGAAGTGCTGCCGAAGGAGACCCAGTGAGAGCAGGGATGGCACACCTTGGTGTCTCCCTACCCAGGTGCTAGGGTGTGTGGCCTAGGATGTCTGGGGTGGGCAAGAGAAGGGAGCTATGTGCAAAGCTGGCCAAGAGGGAAAGCAGAGTCTTGGGCAGAACAGAAAGGGCGGACCCTTTGGGCCTGAACTAACAGTACCTTGGGCCTGATAGTGGGACCCGCCCTGGCTGAGTGTGTGGGTGGGTCTGTAGAAGGAGAGGAGAGGGGTGGTGGCAGGGGGAGGTTGGGGGCTGGGCTGGGCTGGCCTCAGACAGTGACCTGAAATTGAGTGGAAGCAGGCTTTTTCCATCAAACTGCCTGGATACCACACACAGAGACTAAGTGTCAGTTTACTGCCCAGAGCCGGCTCCTTTTCCCTAAGCTCCACAGTAATTAGACAAAGAAAACCTAAATTAGCTGAACAGGCGTCGACAGCTTCCTCCAGAGCACCCCTGGTACCTACATGGGAATGTGTCCGAAAATGGCTTGATTGTAGCTGAGAATCAGCTAAGAAAACACAGCCAAACTGAACTCAGTTTACCGCTCATTTCCAATAGAAAAAAAAAAAAAAAAAAACCGTGGTCTTTTCCGGGTGGGATGTTTTGATTGGGTTGGAGTAGGGAGTTTGCAGTTGTTTCCACTTTCTAAGAATTTCTTTCTGACTGACTGGTGAGCTTTTATTGGGGGGATGGGTCCCTGTTTGTTTCATGGTATTTTTTTCCTCTTATCCCTTTTCATCATTTTACATGGAATAGTTTAAAAATAATTAACTAAATTTGGAATTAAATCTACCATGTTCACTAAATCACTGCTTAAAGTGACTGAAAAGAATCATTTAAATAAAATAGAAACTGGAGTGGGGAGGACATGCAGTGTCTAAAAAGAGCTCTACTAACATTATGACCTTCAGGATGTGTGTGTGTGTGTGTGTGTGTGTTAAATGGGAAGAAAAATGTCCCATCTGAAAAGCACAGGGAGAAGAAAGACAACTTTATTTGTAAGTGGGGATGATAAGTAGCGGTGTTTTGGAGGCATTTACCAAGTGAGTATCACTTGTTACTTAGCAATGGATGCTCTCTGATCTTTTGCGCCTGAAAGCTTAATGTACACTGGGTCACAGACCTATACCTGCTTTCAGAGCACACTCTAAAAGGTTTTAGGACCCAGAGACTGAAGGATATAAAAAGCTCGAGTCCTAAAATGCAGGCTACTTCTATACTGGTAGCTTCCAAACTTCCTGGGCTATGGGTCTTTTTGAGAATATGATGAAAACTTTAGAAACTGCCTCCAGAAGAGAAAAGAAAAAAAAAAAATTCCCATTTTGCATGGAATCTTAGAAGGTCCACAGATCTCCTGAAGCTGACCCTCATGAAGACCCCTACTCTACATATTTTTTATCTTCTACCAATTCTACTGGTTAAATTTAAAGCCCTCCCCCCATCCAAGTGAGAATAGAATCCATTTCTATACACCCTGAGAGGCAATAGGCATTGGAGACAGTTGGGGTCCCAGGAGGGGAAAGTGCTGATTTAAAGCCTGTTCTCTCTTCCCGGGTCTAAATACTGCCTAGGAGCCCCTGCAAGCCAGAAATATATGGAGGTTGGTGGCCTTTTTAGTTCACTGAGCAGGAAAGGTGGCTCTCCAAATCTCTGTCTTGGGGACCCCAATTCAGCCTAAGGAAGTGGTTCCCCTGGTATAGACGACCAGGACTAGAGAGAAATAATAAAACCCTGCATGTGTTTATTATAGATTTTACAGGGCTCCAGCTTTTCCGTAGGCATCATGTCATCACCAAGTGCCCTACATATCATCGTTCACTTTGAGAGAAGAGGAAACCCAAACCAAGACTCAGAAATGTCTGAATGGCTTGTCATAGGCCAGTGTTCCCTCAACCTTATTGTAGCAAACCTTCTCTGAATTTTGTTTTTCGTTTAATCACCACTTTATACAAATCTCTGCGTAAGGATGAACATGATAACAAATTATGTCAAAAAAAACCCATTTAAAAAAAAAATCCCTGGTAAATTTCTAGCTTTTAAAAAGAACGTTGCGATTATCTCTGAAGCACAGCCTCTGTCAGAGGTTCCTTCTTGTTGTGGTGAGCTCTTCCCTGCTTACTTTCATTACTTTACAAACGACAAAAATCTTGATTTTTTTCATCACGGGAAGGAAAAGTATGGTTCGTTTAGATTATCTTTCAGCCCAGATGCTCCCAGGTTAACCAAAACTGCACCGCCTCGGTTGCGAACGGTGCTCTCCGTCTTCGGAGCTCTCAGTCCCTCCCTCCCCTTTTGTCTCCAGCTGGGCTAAGGATTTCTCTCCCGCTCCAAAGCCCAAGGCCCCGCCCCTGCTCCTGCGCAAGGAAATGTAAACTCCGGGAAGCAGGAGTTCGATTTTGTTCTGTAGTCGGCGTTTTATTCTAGGAAATCTCTTCATTATTGCGGTTTAGATGTTATTTTCTTAGCGAGCGCCCTCTGCTTCGTGGGTTTTACATGAAAAGGCTTAGACTAAACCAGTTGCCGACAGGAGAGATGCATCCGCACGGAAAATGTTTCCAGCCATCTAAGATGTCCCCTCTGAGCAATTTGCTCTCAGTTGTCCTCCTCCCTTCCTCCCTCCTTCGCCTTAGGCCGGACAGAAGAAAGTCTCTTCCCAATTACGTCTGAAATTGACCAAAGTTAATGTGCATAAAGGCTTTTCGAGCTCCTAAGAGGCCTTCTTGCGGGGTGTCATCATCCTAGGGATGTTAGTACGTTTGAGGAAATCATGGAGGCCTACAGGCCGCAGAGACCTCAAGAGAAACTTTAATTTATGTTAGAAAATCCGGCAGGGAATAACATCAGGACGCGCCTAGGCTGGCGCTGGAGAGGGGAATAGCGTGAAGAGGGCTATCACCCGTCCCAGCGTCTGCTTGCCTTCCTCTGTCCAGAAACCCCCAGACCGCCGGGTTTGAACACCAGCCACCCAATTCCAAATGTTTATTTGGATAGATTCTTCCGCTCTCCAAACGCCTGTGTCCCGAATAGAGCTCTTTTTATAGCCACCTTTCTGAGACAGCCCCTAGATTTCTTGGCCTGGAGGTGGGTACGACCCAATCACCCACTTGGCCAGATATGAGGGTGCCTGG